TCCTCAGCACAAAAATAAAATGTCAAAGCAGTTTGCCATAATCAGAATTGGCAATGCTCTTCACCTTTATTAGTGACTGTTATTATTTCTTTATTTCTAGAGTGTCCACTGAGTGCTATTATTAATCCCTCAAGAGTGAGAGCTGAAAAAAAGTACACAAATAACGTACAAACCTGCCAATTCATGTGAAAACTACAGCCTAACTTAATAACATGCCCTTTTCTTAGGAAAACCAGGCTGTAGTGAGAAGGGCAGTGAGGCTGAAAGTGTGCAAAGGGAGAGGGCTTGGTGCAGGGCATAGAAGGGGCCAAGGGTGATTGAAGGGGCAAGAGACAGAGAGAAGAGAAGTAGTTCTATTGCTTACAGTTGCTAAATCTGTCTCTGGTGATTAGGTTAAACACTATCACCCTACTTAGCAAAAAATGCAACCATGTGTTACAATGATCTGACTTTTGTTTGCGTGGTGTGCTGAATTTGGGCTTGTATAATTCTAGATCCAAGGTTTCCATTCGGATTTATACGTATAAACTGGTAAAACCTTAAAGACAAGATTTGACTAAGATGGAAATAGAGTTCACTGTATTGCTGAATCTCAACTGAGGGTTTCTGAGAGAGAGGGAGACTGAGCCCAAGACTGAGCCCAGGCACTGAGCTGTGGTCAGGCTGTGTGCACTGAAAAAAATTCCATGAGCTCTGCCTCCTCCCTAGGGAAGTGCAACCCTTCTGGTTCCAAACAGCTGTTGTCGCTCTGTGGTAAAATCTCTAAAAGTAAAAAAAAAGGACAAAGTGTTTTCATTATATTGCAGATTACTATATCTTTGTTTTAGAGATAATTTATGTTTTACAATAAATTTTAGAAGTAAGTCAGCCAAAGCTATACACAATAATGAGGGCAAAACTACTTCTGTTCTGTCTTTGCACCTTTGTGTAATATCCTAATTTGGTCTCACACTAGCTGAGCTATATATTATCTAAATATGTAAGCTACATCTAAGCTTATGTAGCTCCTGTAGACCTAGATAAAAGCCTGGGAATATAGGTTTAAATGTGTACCTTATTTGTAGTCTGCTATGCTGATGTGAGCTGGTTTTTCTTCCGAGCTGAGTTTGCAGCTAGACTTTTAACCATTGGCATCTGGAAAAAACCCTCCCAGAGCCCACTTGGGCATTGCAGCCCTTTCGTCCCCGGTCCCAGGAAGTTCCTTCAAGCTGCCAAAAGTCTTTTTTAATTGCTGCACACTGTCAGTCCTTTCCCCAGTGAAGAATGGGCAGTAGGGCTTAAGTATATTTGTCTCCGTTTGGCTCTCACCTTTTTTTTTCATTCC